GGCCTCTCATCTGTTCTTAACCGTCACTATAGGACCAACCAACAGATGCTGATGATGATATTGTTATCAATGATCTAAAGTCATTTTTTCCCCTGAGTCCCTGGTCATGAGCTGTAGTTTCTAAGGTAGAGCTTCTTAAATTTTTAGGAGACATGGATCTTATGAAACGTTTGGCCCTTCCTGCCATGAAAATGTATACACGTGCAATTTTGCCCACAATTTGAGGGAGTTCATGAGCCTCTTAATGACCATCTGTGGATCCTTTTGGGAGTATATTCTCAAATGGACCCCATACCAGAACTACTGAATCAGAGTCTCTTATGGTGGGACCCTGGAATCTATATTTTTATCAAGCTCCTCAAATGAGTTTTTAGAAACACTAAAGTGAAACTATTTAACTAAATATCCAGATTCCCATCTAAGAACATCTGCTACAATGAGAGGAAATAATTGAAGTTACAGGAAGAAAATGAAAGCATCATTCTGGTATCTTTAATCTCTTAGCCACATTTGGTCTGTATCTCTCTCTTCAACAGAGAGAATAGCACCCGTTTTGAGAGAAGGCAATGGGCCGGGAGGGAGCCCTAGGGGTCTAAGAAGTGTGCAGACATATGAGTAACACAGAGTCCATAACTTAGCAGAGTATTGTCCCCCATTCTCATTTAGGACCGACTGTGATTCCTCCACCACCTCACTCTGCTCCTTCCCTGTTGCAAATGTCTCACTGGCTAAGGGTGGACGTGATCGGGTGAGTATAGGAGCTAGAGAGAGGTTTCACTAGAGCTTTGATGACTTGAAATAGGAAGGCTTGAGAAAGACTTGGAGAACAAGGATTGACTAAGAGAGACTAAGAGGAAGGCTTTGAAGGGAAGGAAGGTTCAAGAAAAATTAAAATCTCAGTGAATTGTGTGTATTGATCTTTCTGCAACAGATGTTAGGAACGTTCTCATTCTCAACATACAGACAGTCACCGACTTGCAATGGTTAGACTTAACAATTTTTCGACTTTATGATGTTGCAAAAACTATATACATTCAGTAGAAACTGTACTTCAAGTACCCACACAACCATTCTGGTTTTCTTATCAGTACAGTATTCAATAAATTACATGAGATATTCAATAATTTATTATAAAATAGGCCTTGTGTTAGATGATTTTCCCCAACTATAGGCTAATCTGAGTGTTCTGAGCACATTTAAGGTAGGCTAGGCTAAGCTGTGATGTTCGCTAGGTTAGCGTAATAAATGCATTTTTGGCTTATGTTTTCAACTTATGATGGGTTTATTGGGACATAAGCCCATCATAAGTCCAAGGAGCATCAGCATCTGTATCAGATGAGATATCTCTTTCAGGCAGATCATGTCTACTAGATGAAGTAAGCAATATTGTAGACCTAAGTGAACAAATCAGCTATTTCAGTGTAATAGGATGGCATCCTCCCAAGAGTTTTGAAAGTATATATATAAAATTATGAAACTGTTGACAAATATGTGTGACCTGTCATTACAAAGGGGACTGTGCCAGAGGACTGGCGAGATGCCAGTGTAACTTTGACAAGCCCGGGAACCCTGAGAAATGCATATGGGGACTCAGCCTTCCATACTTGGCAAGCTGGGGAGGCTCTAATAAAGGGTAGGATCTCTGCACACTTACAAAGGACCTTGGAGGATCAACATCATTTCTTATTACTAGAGTTTTTTGAGTTGTTAGTTAGCAACATAATTAGAAGTAATAGTTGTAAAACTTACTAAAAATAAGTTCATTTTCAAAAGTGGTAGTTATGAGGATACTGACTTAAAGATGGAAATGTCACAACTCTTAAGGGAGGAGTATAAATTACAGAGTATGGGGTTCCCTGGGATTGATATGCAGACTGGCCTTATTTGACAATACAAACAACCTAGGAGACTGTATCCTATAACATCTTCCAGTTTACTACCAGGCAGCCAAGCACTGTCAAGAAAACACTTACCAGGTCAGATGAATGGGCCCAAACGTCAGATTTCAAAGTTGTGAACTAGATTTATCATTGTAGTCTTGCTATTTGGGAAAGGAGCTTTGAGGTAATCATATAATGATCTATGAAGACATTGACTCAGTTTGCTTCTGTGGTTAAAAAATAATAAATGGAATATATTGAGAGGAGATTGGAAACAAAGTCACAGTAATCTGTACCTGGAACGGTGCATACAGTTGTGTGGCTGCCTGTTGTAGAGATCATGTGGTGACGCAGGGAGCCAGGGAGGGAACCTAAAACAATGAGGTATGAGCCTGCTGGACTAGGGGAGGGAAGGAAGGACGAGAGGTGATCCAGTCCAAGTCCCTGATAATTACAAGATGTGAAATGTTTTGTTCATTGATGGCGAACATTTTTAATGAATTACTGAAATAACAAGTCCACTCTGTGTAACACCTTGCTTGAAGTAGATGTGGTCCCTCCTCTCAAGCTCACAGGACTGATAAAAAACTATACATTGCATGTATTTGCATGCATTTAAGTAGTAAAGTATAAGATGCAGATTATGCACTCTAGAAGAATTTGTGAAGAATTAGAGATATCAGTGTAGTCTCAGATAATGTGAGACTATGGAGATGGTGAGGCTCAAAGTGGGTCTTTCAAGGAAGCGTGACTATTGTGTGGGAATGGAGAACCTGCTCATCAGGCAGACAGACATGAACAAGGGCAGGGCATGGACTCATTCACAGGGTCCTAGTAGTAGTAGATTCTGTGGATGCCCTCGGAGGAGATGACATTTTCTAAACTGCCGGTTTAAACTACCAGTTTAAGCACACGCACACACACACATACAGGCAGCTTTATTTGAGATATAATTCATATGCCATACAATTCACCCACTTGAGGTGTACAGTTCACTTTTGGTATTTTCGCAGAGTTAAATAGCCACCATGACAATGAATTTTAGAACACTTTCATCAACCTGGAAAGAAACCCCACAGAATCCCTCCCCCACCGCCAACCCACCCAGAGTACTACCTATTGTAATGTTTCAAAGAATTCATGAAGCAACTGGCTTAGAATCATCTGGCCTCTACAGGGGGTAGGAGTCTCTCATGGAATCCATTTTTTTCAAGAGATAGTTCAGACTGAAAATAGGAATCTCTATAAAGAAAGGCCTCTATCAGTGGTTTTCAAACTTTACTTTAGTAGTAAACACTCAAAGCACCCCCAAGTCTGTATCCAGATTGGAAGTGGTTCACTATTAGCTAGGGCAATGTTTTTTAACTTTTTTTTTTTTTTTTTACCTATTCCCTCTGGTTGAAAACAAAAGCTTCACCATCACCCCTGTGGTTCTTATATACTACCCTGTGAAAGTCATGCTGCTAGATAGAATTATTAAATAAAGGGATTAGAAGAACATAGGAATGGTCAGGAAAAACTAAGGTATGTTTGGTAGCAAATCTTTACCCATTTGAGGTTTACCCCGGTGATGAAGAAGCCTTCCCGTTATGAGTCTCAGGGTTCTACCAACAGAACCATGATAAGGGACCCAGAATGGCATAAAGACAATCTAGACTGATGGCGACTGTGTGTGAGTTGGCTGAGGACACCGTCAGCACTGCTGGCGCTTGGTTAATTAATCATGTGAGGGAGAGCGGGCTGGGCCCGGGGGACGGCCTTAGTCACATAGCCCTGAGTCACAGATGGCCCAGTTGGCAACATGACGGTTCAGATTTAGAAAAGAAATGTGACACAGCCTTTCTGGAACAGAGTAGTGAGTGTGATTTAGGGGAGCCAACACGATATCAAAGCCTTCGGAAGTCAGGGGGGCCCAGCCACCAGGAGGGGGCAGCACTTTCTTGGGATGAGAGATTGAGAGGCCTGTTATGCTAACCAAGGGGTTTGTGGCAAGTATTTGTGGGGAGGGGTGGGAGAAGGTGGAACAGGGTCAGTATTTAAAAATTTCTTTTTGACAAGAGATGGGGGTTACCTTGGGCAGGTGCTGATGTATGGACAGCCGTATCGCATTACCTTAGAGCTGGAGCTGCCAGAGTCCCCTGTGAATCAAGATTTGGGCATGTTCTTGGTCACTGTTTCATGCTACACCCGAGGTGGCCGAATCATCTCTACTTCTTCACGCTCGGTAAATGTTCATGGCCTGTGTGGTAAGGTGTGGAGAATGGTGGCAGAGTAAGAACATCTGGGCAGGGTTTTGGGAGAAAACATCTTGGCTCAGAGGTCACAGACACATCAGAATAAGGAAAGAGGAATCAGCTTGTCAAACCAGAAACATATGCAGACACCCCAGGTATCTGATGTGCATGCCTGACTTTGGGGTAAAGTCTGAAGAGTATGCTGCTCTCAGAAAACAGAGGCTCTAGAGCCAAACAGACCTGGGCTTGTGTCCTCATTCAGAAACAAGCTAGCTGTGGGACAACTAGCTTAATGCCTTGGGTATAAAGTGACTTCATTCTTACATAAATTATCAGCAGAACCACATCATGAAGTAAATTCCTGATGTCTGCATGGGGGAAAAAAGCTTTAGATGGTGTACTGGGACTTAGATCCCATACTAGATTGTGGAACTATTTGGGGGGGAAAGATAGATCAGAGACAGTGTTGACCTTGACCTAGGAATGTTTCTTGGAAGGAGGAGCCTTTGTTATAGTAGAATGAAGGGACGTGGTCAGATAGGAGGAGAGGTTACTCAAGCAATTGGAATGGTTGGGTCAAGACTGGGGGATAAGGCCAGGCGCGGTGGCTCACGCCTGTAATCCTAGCCCTCTGGGAGGCTGAGGCGGCTAGGATCACTTGAGGTCAGGAGTTCAAGACCACCCTGAGCAAGAGCGAGACCCCATCTCTACTAAAAATAGAAAAAATTAGTCCAGCGTGGTGGTATAAGTCTGTAGTCCCAGCTACTTGGGAGGCTGAAGCAGGAGGATTGCTTGAGCCCAGGAGTTTGAGGTTGTTGTGAGCTAGGCTGATGCCACAGCACTCTAGCCCAGGTGACAGTGAGACTCTGTCTCAAAGAAAAAAAAAGACAGGTGGATAGGAAGCAAAGGTGAGGGAGCAGAGATCTAAGGGAGAAACAGCTTTCTGAGACTGTTCAAGGGTGGCTGAGGGGTAGGCAGGGCCATGGGGATCTGGCCCACCTATCCCCAACCTCCCTCCTGTCCCTGGCAGGTGATGTTGCATTACCGCTCAGACCTGCTCCAGATGCTTGACACGCTGGTTTTCTCTAGCCTCTTGCTGTTTGGCTTTGCAGAGCAGAAGCAGCTCCTGGAGGTGGAGCTCTATGCAGACTATAGAGAGAACTCGGTGAGTGAGGTGAAGGATGGCCAGGAGATAGCCTGCCCCATTAGCCCAGAATCCTACCTGAGGAGCCTCTGGGCTCAGACTGGGCTGACAAGAGTGCCAGCAGCAGCGTCCTGGCCTGACACTGCCCTCACCCCAACCCCCTTGCAGTACGTGCCGACCACCGGAGCGATTATCGAGATCCACAGCAAGCGCATCCAGATGTACGGAGCCTACCTCCGCATCCACGCGCACTTCACCGGGCTCAGGTGAGGAGCCGCTGAAGCAGACCTCGGGCAGCTCTCGTGGGGGCTGGCCTTAAATGAAGAGGGTCCCAAGCAGAGGTGGCAGGTTTAGAGGGCAGTGTTGCATCGGGTTTCACATAGGCCACAGGTTCTCAGTCCTGGCTGCACATCAGCTTATCACCTGGGGAACTTTTAAAAAATATGCCTGGGCCCTACCTCACACCAGCTGAACCAGAATTTGTTAGGTTCATGGCTAGGCGTTGGAATTTTTATTTTTTCTGGTTTTTGCCCCACCAAACTCCCTCAGCCTGGTCATCCTTTCTCCACCCTATCCGTCCCCCCTCCACCCTGCCTGTCTTCCCTCTGCCCCACCCTTCCTCCCTCAGACCCGACATCTGCCCAGCAGTCCAGGGCAGACCTGTTCCACGCAAGCTAGCAAGCTGGTGGCAGAAGTTTTCACAGCACCCCAGGGGAAGCTGATGTGCAGCCAGAGTTGAGAACTACAGTCTTAAGCCATTGACTCAGCCAGAGCTGGGGTGACTCTTGCGTGTGGCCCTGCAGTGCTGAGACTTCCTGTAGGTCCTTGGCCTTTATTACAACCAATAAAGCAGGTTCTGGTAACTGTGTGGGTGGGAGGCAGGGGAGGTAGAGGCCGGCTCTAGCCAAACTCACTTGAATTGCCCTAAAAATTATTTCTGGGAATTGAGAGGGCTGGTGCTCTCCAGTAACTGCTACTCCCTTGCTGTCCCTACTTCCCACCTCAGATACCTGCTGTACAACTTCCCGATGACCTGCGCCTTCATAGGTGTCGCCAGCAACTTCACCTTCCTCAGCGTCATCGTGGTCTTCAGCTACATGCAGTGGGTGTGGGGGGGCATCTGGCCCCGACAGCGCTTCTCTTTGCAGGTTGCAAGGGGCAAGGACCCCCTTTTTCTCTCCTTCATGATCTTTCTTTGTGGGTGGCCAGGGGCATGTTGGAGGTTAGGGCATGAGAGCCCTAATCACCACGGAGGGAAGTCAGTCCTCGCTGCTCAGTAGTTTCTCCTCCACAGGTTAACATCCGAAAAAGGGACAATTCCCGAAAGGAAGGTCAGCGAAGGATCTCTACCCATCAGTCAGGTAAAGGTCTTGATTGGGGGAAGTATTCGGGAGGGATATGGGCTCAGCTAGGCAAGAGAGAGTCCTTGCTTCATCCAGTGTGAGGCTTAAGGCACTCAGGTACTGAGCTGAGGGTCAAAGGAGAGGCTGAAGGAGGTGAAGTTGTCATTGCTGTCCAGGCACAGCCATCCTGACCCTAACCTGTCCTCTGTCTGCTCCGGGGGCACAGGGCCTGAAAGCCAGGAGGAATCAACCCAGCTATCAGATATCACAGAGGATGGTGAGAGCCCTGAAGATCCCTCAGGGACAGGTACAGCACAGCAGCAGCATTCCCCACCTCCTGGCTCCATAGCTGTCCCCTTCAGTATCTGGGTCTAATCTCTGTGGTCCCCTTTTGGCTGCAGAGGGTCAGCTGTCTGAGGAGGAGAAACCAGATCAGCAGCCCCTGAGTGGGGAGGAGGAGCTGGAGCCCGAGGCCAGTGATGGTGAGGGGCATCCTGCAGTGGGACCTGGGTGGAGTGGGGGTGGGACCCTTAGTTAATCTAATATCCCATTTGGGATTGTTTTTCCCTTCTCTGGCCCAGGTTCGGGCTCCTGGGAAGATGCAGCTCTGCTGACGGAGGCCAACCTGCCTACTCCTGCCTCTGCCTCTGCCCCTGCCCTTGCCCCGGAGACCCTGGGCAGCTCCGAACCCTCTGTGGGTGCTGTCCGACAGCGCTCCACCTGCTCTAGTTCCTGAAGAAAAGGGCAGATTCTTCACATTCCAGCACTTTCCCACCTGACCCTTCTCCCCTTGTTTTTCCCTCAATAAACTATTTTCGTGCCAGCTGCTTCCCTGACTCTTTGAAATGAATTTAGGGTCTTTTGAAAACCTTGTGTTATTTGAAAACCCCGTGTTCCTCAGGCATCTCCCACTCTCCCCCATTGAAAGAGGTTGTCTTGTCAAGGGCTACCCAGGGGGAAGGCCTCCAGCCCTGGGCAATTTTAAGCACATCTGTTTCCATTTCTAAGCCTAGCAAGTCCAAGGAGAGAGAAGCTATCCTGGCGTCTGTCAGGCTTCCAGCTCCATCCATGTGACTCTCTCCTCTCCCTCAGGGGACAGGGATAGTGCAGGGCGGGTCTGGAGAGCCAGGATACATCATTCTGGCCCCCTCTGCACCCCTCCCTTTCTCTGTCCGTTGGGAGGCAGAAGACAGGAAATGACTGCCATGGATGTGGTATGATTTTTACCAAAACAGCATTTTGTAGCTCAGGCCCATGCTGTTCACAGCTGTTTTCCTTTGTGATACCAGCCAGGTGGCCGACTCTCCCATGTTCCCCTCCCCATTGCTTCACATGACTTGAGCCGTTAGAGTCTTCGCTCCTGGCCGCCGTCCACATTCCATTGCCCTTTCAGAACCCAGGCATCCCGGGCTCCAGCTGCAACTGCTGCATGTGGCTTTCACCATCCCTGGCCTTGTGACTCAGGCGGCCCCCTGAAGGGAGCAGCCCTCTTTTTTGCAGTCACTGTGGAGAGGGAGAGGAGGAGGGGGGCTAGGCGGTGACATCACAGTCGAAGGGTATAAAAGCTTCAAGCCAAAACAGTTGAAATTGAAGATACAACCTGACAGCGCAGCCTGTGATCCTGGGGACCCCTCAGCCTCATCTGCACAGACGTCTGGTGGCAGATTCCCACTTTATCAAGGCCTACCCACTGGTGAGGGGCTGCTGGGGGCCAGGGAGGAGGAGGGACACAGGCAGGGGCCAGTACTCCTTGGGCAGCAGATAGCAGGTGGGCAGAGAGGGTTACAGGTCCTTATTTCCCCTTCTGTTCTATCTCCTCTCCCTCACTTCTGTCTCCTTTCTGGATTTTTGCATGTGTCGCTGACGGATACTTATTTTCCTTAGATCTTTTCTGTGGGCGGCAGCTGGGAATTATTCTACCATTCTTCCCTGGTCCAAGTAAATCATTTCTTCTCTTCTCCCCCAGCACTTTGTTTATTCATTAACTGTTTCTAATACTTAACACATTGCTGGTCACATCTGTCTCTCATGTGTCAAACCATATTTTATTCTTTTTTGTCTGAAAGCAAGCACATAGCCTGGATGCAGAAGTTGGTTCACAAATGAATCTCCTTGCCACCTTTTTCCTCTTCCCTCCTCGTTCCTAGTTGTGCTTCCCTGTCCCTGTCCCCAGAGGTTTTTTTGAGACAGGGACCTGGAAGGCTTGTGGGCTGAACAGCCTTTACCTATCTACCCCTTCCCTTGCAGGCTCCATGCTGGGCTCTACCTGCCTTCCGTGGCTCCTGGCTATGACCTTCTCCTTGGTTCCTAGAGCTCAGCCCTTGGCCCCTCAAGGCTTTGAGGAAGAGGAGATAGATGAGACGGTGCCACCGCCTGTCCCCTGTGACTACGACCGCTGCCGACACCTGCAGGTGCCCTGCAGGGAGCTGCAGAGGGCCGGCAGGGTGGCCTGCCTGTGTCCTGGGCTCTCCAGCCCTGCCCAGCCGCCAGACCCGCCGCGCCTGGGAGAGGTGCACGTTGTGGCCGAGGAGGGCTGCGCCGTGGTCCACTGGTGCGCTCCCTTCTCCCCGGTCCACCACTACTGGCTGCTGCTTTGGGAGGGCAGTGGGGCTCCACAGAAGGGCCTGCCGCTGAACTCCACCTTCCGAAAAGCAGAACTGAAGGGGCTGAAGCCTGGGGGCACTTATGTCGTTTGCGTGGTGGCCGCTAACGATGCCGGGGAAAGCCACGTGCCGGGGGCAGGTGGGGAGGGCCCCCAGGGGGCGGACGTGCCTGCCTTTGGGCCTTGCGGCCGGCTCTCCGTGCCGCCCAGCCCCCTCACTCTGGTCCACGCGGCCGTTGGGGTGGGCACAGCCCTGGCCCTGCTGAGCTGTTCCGCCCTGGTCTGGCACTTCTGCCTGCGGGACCGCTGGGGCTGCCCACGCCGGGCTGCCGCAAGAGCCTCAGGGGCGCTCTGAAGGGGCCTGGAAGCACAGCCAAGCCCCACCTGGGGCGCTCAGCTCGGCGGCTCCGGGCTCCGGGGAGGAGGGGGCCGCTGCTGCCAGGACAGGCAGGACGGCAGCTGGGAGCCAGCCCCGGGCGCCTGGGCCACAGCTGTGGCTGGGTTCTCTGGGCGAAGCGCTTGTTTGGGTCCCGGACTTGCCGCTTTGTTCCCTGGCTGAGGTCTAGAAGAGAGTAGAGAGGATCCCCCAGGTTAGGCCAGATAGTAAATAATTTCGGCTTTCTGGGTTCCAAAGGATAACATCAAGCATATTATATAGGTACTTATATGACCATTTAACCATTTCAAAACCATTTTTATCTGCCTTACAAATCAGGTTGCAGGCCTGTTGACTATACTTAGATCACCCCTGTCATACACCCTCAAAAGGACTCTGTCACTGTGGGTGGCTTCAGTGGGATTTTGAGAATAAGCTGGGGCAGGATGGGCCTTTGGGGCCAGAGACCATCCTCTTCTGCTTCTACCTTTTGTTTAGTTATTAAGGATGAACACATCTGAGTCCACGTCCACCTGTGTCTAAGGAGGGTAGAGAAGAGAGAGAAGGCCGAAGCTGCAGTCTGGGAGAAGTTTGTGTCCCTGCTAGTTAAAACAAAACAGAAACAACAGTAATACCAAGGAATTTCTCCCTTTCCCCCGAGTTGTGTTTACTGTATATCCACTGTAACAACATTAAAGGACATTTAAACGAAAGACATTTTCATTTTTCATGATCTCTTTCAATTCCCTGTCCACATACCTATTTTTCATAGGAGTATACATACTTTTGAATTTATTTTTAAATTAAGTAGGTGTAGAAAAGTCTGTTTTGTGTTGCTACACAGCATAATCCTCACTTTTACCGGTCTTTTTTAAATTATAAAAGGAATGCATACAAATTTCAAGTATCTGAAAGAGGTAATTGCTCTTAGCAGAGCAGATCTTTCTTTAGGAAATGCAAGTATTTTCTTTTTTCACTCATTGTTCACTTATAGCCTCTAGACACAACCCAAGGTAGTAAACCATAGCCCCCTTTGTTATGTTAAAGGTGCATAACTTTCATATGAGGGTGCTCCTTGACTCACTTTAGTCATCACTCTTTGTTGGAACATTTACGTTGTCTCCAGTGTTTCCCATAGGATATCCTTACTTGCATATCCTCACGTTTGTGGATTTCTGTAGGGTACTTACCTAGAAAGAGGTCGAAGAGGCAGTACTGTAAAATTTAATCATTTTATTATTGGACCTCTAGAATAAATTTAGAATACATTTGTTATCTAGAATACACTTGTTATCACACAGCAGTGAATACCTTGTGCTTCTTTATTTAATTTCTGTATTTCCTCAGCATTCATTCATTTAGAAATGATGAGAGGGAGGACCTACTATCTCATTATTAAAGACATGCTTTACATGTATTCTCACTTAATCTTTACCACAGTCATTCCTAGAGATGATATCACCTTTTCACAGATGAGAGATTTCAGCTTCTAAATGGTTTGAAGCTACAACTACGGAGTTCAGTTAGGATTTGGGCCTAAGCTGCCCAACTCTAAGGCCAATGCTCTTCACTCTACCATGGAGAGGCAACATAGCATAAAGGTTTAGTGAACACACACTGCATGGGTTGGCTCCTAACTCTGCTACTCACTAGCCTTGTGACCCTAGGTAAATCATCTCCTCTTTCTGGGTCTGTTTTTTATGACTAATAGTAGTATGTACCTCATAGAGATTGTTGTGATAATTAAATATAAAAACTAATGATATAAAAGTCTCTAGCACTTATATTTTATTTATTTATTTATTTATTTTTTAGAGACAGGGTCTCGCTACAGTTACCTGGGCTACAGTGCACTGGCATCATCATAGCTCACTGCAACCTCAAACTCCCGGGCTCAAGTGATCCTCCTGCCTCCTGAGTAGTTAGGACTACAGGCACATGCCAGCTAATTTTTCTACTTTTAGTAGAGAGGAAGTCACACTCTTGCTCAGGTTGGTCTTGAACTCCTGAGTTCAAGTGATCCTCCCACCTCAGCCTCCCAGAGTGCTAGCCATTGCTGGATTATGTTTGTTTTTGTTTTTTTTTTTTGAGACAGAGTCTCACTCTGTTGCCTGGGCAAGAGTGCCGTGGTGTCAGCCTAGCTCACAGCAACCTCAAACTCCTGGACTCAAGCGATCCTCCTGCCTTGGCCTCCTGAGTAGCTGGGACTACAGGCATGCACCACCATGCCTGGCTAATTTTTTTTTTTACATATATATATTTTAGGTGTCCAGCTAATTTCTGTCTATTTTTTTAATAGAGACGGGGCCTCACTCTTGCTCAGACTGGTCTCGAACTCCTGAGCTTAAACAATCCTCCCGTTTCGGCCTCCCAGAGTGCTAGGATTACAGGCGTGAGCCATCACGCCTGGCCTGGATTATGTTTTTAATTAAATGAAGACCTAACATTATTTTTCCCTTTTAACATTCAAAATTCTGGGAGTTTTTTTTGTTGGGTTTTTTTTTGAGACAAGGTCTTGTTCTGCTGCCCAGGCTGGAGTGCAGTGGCACAATCATAGCCCACTGCAACCTCAAACTCCCAGACTCAAGCGATCCTCCTGCCTCAGCCTCCCAAAGTTCCAGCACATATACTATCAGTCAGTAACTGTTAGCATCACTCTACCTCCTAATAAACATTTAAAGTGAGCTTCACCTTCAGGGATCTTAACAGCTGGGGTAGTGGAGGAGTACTAAGTATCAACCAGGACTATACAGCAACTAGATAAATGCTTAATGGGGTAAATACTGGAGCTGGGAGGCAGAGAAGGGTGGTTGGATTAGGCTTTCCTGAGAAAGCAAACCCTGAGTTCTGAAAAACGACTAGGAGTTAGTTAACTAGGCCGAGAAAAGAGGCAAGGCATCCCAGGCAGAGGGGCTGGAGGGTGTAAAGGCCAAGAGAAGGGTTAGAACCTGTTCTGCAGTATACACAGGTTATCCTCAAGAGGTGGAAGATGAAACTGTCCAGTGACTACCAGCATTTATAGTGTTTTTTTTTTTTCTTTAAGCTAGTCAAATTTAGCAGCGGGGGGTTGAATACCAACTTTAGTGACACTAATGTTAATAAGTTCTGATAACCCACTACCATCGGACCGGTAGTACTACACAGTGTCTTGACAAGCACCTAAGGTAGGTGCTGTTGTTACCTTCAGTTTACAGATGGGGCTGTAACCGGAAAAAAGGAGGGGGGAGCAGGAGGAAGTAAGGCCACCAACATTTAAGTTTTGTCCTAGATGACTGGAGTGTCAACGAGAAGTTTTTTTTTTTTTTTTTTTTGAGACAGAGTCTCACTTTGTTGCCCGGGCTAGAGTGAGTGCTGTGGCGTCAGCCTAGCTCACAGCAACCTCAAACTCCTGGGCTCAAGCGATCCTACTGCCTCAGCCTCCCGAGTAGCTGGGACTACAGGCATGCGCCACCATGCCCGGCTAATTTTTTCTATATATATTTTTAGCTGTCCAATTAATTTCTTTCTATTTTTGGTAGAGACGGGGTCTTGCTCTTGCCCAGGCTGGTCTCGAACTCCTGAGCTCAAACAATCCGCCCGCCTCGGCCTCCCGGAGTGCTAGGATTACAGCAAGGAGAAGTTTTAAAGCAGGGAGGTGATGACAGGATCGGATACTGTGTTTTGCAAAGATCCTTTTTGGCAGTCAGCACAGGATAACTCAACTATCCGGAGAGGATGAGAGGGTCAAAGAGCTTGCACATTTCTATGGCTGCTGATGAACATTGCCAAATAATTTTCCAAGGGGTTGCGCTAAAGGGCCATATTCCTTGCAATTTCTAAGAAGTGTGAGGCAGTGTGGGCTGACTTCATTCCGCCCACAGATTTCACAGCCGCACCATCTTTCTTCCCCTCCGCCCCCAGGCGCGGAGCCTGGTAGGTAGCCTCCCTGTTCGTGACTCCAGCCAACGACCGACCCGCCCACGCAGGGTCCTGGCACTGGAGCCAGGCAGGTTTTTGGCTCTCCGCGGCACCCGTCCACGTTCGCCCCCACGTGACCCAAACAGATTCGGGCACTTCCGCTTCCCTTCGGCTTTCTTCTCGTCGGTGTCCCCGGCTGGTCCGGAGCCGGGTGAGTAAGCCAGCGCCTGGCCAGGGGCGTCGGGGACTAGTTTGCCCCGCGCTGACCTTTCCCGCCTTCCTTCTCGCTACACCAGGTCCCCGCGGAAGCGGCGGTGGCGGCGCCATGGCGGAGCTGACGGCTCTGGAGAGTCTTATCGAGATGGGCTTCCCCAGGGGACGCGCGTAAGGGGGTCCCTCTAACCCCGGCCCGCGAGGGTGGGGAGCCGCGGACCTGTCCCGGCCTTTGCCCCAATCTGATCGTCACCATGGCTGGGGGGCGCTATTCACGGTGTTTCTGCCCCCAGGGAGAAGGCTCTGGCCCTCACAGGGAACCAGGGCATCGAGGCTGCGATGGACTGGTGAGCGCTCAGACCGGGTGGCGGAGGATTGGCGACTGCTGGGAGGGGCAGCCTCAACGCTAACCTCCCTGCCGACTTTCCCTGCCAGGCTGATGGAGCACGAAGACGACCCCGATGTGGACGAGCCTCTAGACACCTCCCTTGGACATATCCTGGGACGGGAACCCACCTTCTCAGAGCCAGGTGGACTCGAAGGTCCTGACTGGGGGACATGGTGATTATTCAGGAGGGTCCGAGGAGAATCTGAAGGGATAATATATTGATTGCTTGTTTGTAGGACCTGGGTCTGCTGCTGGAGAAGGCAAACCCATTTTGAGTGAAGAGGAAAGACAGGAACAGACCAAGAGGTACAGTAAGGAACAATGTCTCTAGCCTGGGCAACAGAGTGAGACTCTGTATCCAGGAAAAAAAAAAAAGGAACAGTCTCACATCTCTGAGGGTCATCTTCCACCTCTCCCCAAGGTTCTAGTCAAAGAACCCTGATCTTTCTACATTTTCTCAGTTCTTTCCTCACATTTTCCT